TTGGTCGCGCGCAACCCTTTCGCACGAAATGGACGTTAGACGTCAAAAACTGAGGAAAAATTGCAACTTTTATTGGTCGCGCGCAACTCTTTCGCACGAAATGGACGTTGGACGTCAAAAACTGAGGAAAAGTTGCGACTTTGAAGCGTCCCGCGCAACCCTTTCGCACGAAATGGACGTTGGACGTCAAAAACTGAGGAAAAATTGCGACTTTGAAGCGTCAATCGCAACCCTTTCGCACGAAATGGACGTTGGACGTCAAAAACTGAGGAAAAATTGCGATGGACGCTTTCGTTTGTGTAAAAGTGTCTGTGTTTAAAGGCGTCTGTGTGTAAAAGCATTTGTGTGTGAAAGCGTGTCTGCGTGTGTAAAAAGCATCTGCGTGTAAAAGCGTCTGTGTGTAAAAGCGTCTGTGTGTAAACGCGTCTGTGTGTAAAAGCGTCTCTGTATAAAAGCGTCGCGTTTCTTCGCGTTCACGGAATGATGGTGCCGAGCCTTTTTCCGCAATGTGTGTGGGAATTACCATAATAAAATGAGATAGCACATGTCATTCGCAGACTCGTGGTACTGAGCCTCCTGTGCACTTTTGTTGCTCACATTACATTTCTACATGTTTTCTTTCTACTCCCCCTTTCATTCTCTCTCTCTCTCTCTCTTGCTTTCTCTTTCTCTCTCTCTCTCTCTCTCTTTCTCTCTCTCTTTCTCTCTCTCTCTCTCTTTATCTCTGCCCCCTCTTTCTCTCTGTGGTTGCAAGACACATGTCATCTGATGCCCTTTACCAAATATTCTCTTCTTGATCAATCTTCCTTTTTCACACCATATCTTTCCATAGCTCATATAAAATTCACCAACTATTCACCGACTATCTTTTACGACTACCATCCTCAGAGCTGCTTGAAAAACATTTTTTTCGCTCTCGGGCCAACCGTCGTCTAGTTAATCAGTTTCACAAGTGAAGCTCTAGGATGTTCTAGGTGACCTGTGAGAAGTTTGGGTTTACCAATCCGAGCTCCAATCACTTCCAAGTGTTGAGTTCTACGATTGTGATTTTGTGTTTTGTCAATGTCAGAGACGCTGGAAAGTTGCTTTGCCTTTACGGCAGGAATGGTGCTTTTACAGCCTTTGGCTTTGCATATCTGGGAATTATCCAGTGTCACTGGGCTGCAACATTGGGGGCGTTTCCCACTTAAATGAGCAGACCAAAGCATCCAAAGCATCCCAAAGCTGCTCCACTTTGCTCCACTTTGCTCCCAATTCTGATAATTCTGCCTCTGAGGGTTTATCTATGTGACGCTCTTTACTCGGCTATGTCCACAAGCGATACGCTTCGCAAATCTTCCATGGGTCCCTTGGCGAATGTTGGGGGCTACGGCAACGATATTGGGTGGGCCCGCCCCACGGCAGGCAGAAAAGCTGAAGGATCGGGCTGGGCAGATTGACCTTGTAAAGCAGGCCAGGCAATTGCACCCGGCCCCTGAGATTTCTGGTAATAGCTGGGGGGACAAGCATTGGATGGGGCTATACACTGCTATATGGATCATGCTGAATGCTGGTCATGAGAAAATATGAGAAGGAGTCCAGAAATTAGAGAACCTCCTCCATGTGCCTAATAGATCCTGATAGAATTCATCCGGAACTAGATATTATGCCTTGTGATACTGTAGCTCTTCCACATCATATCGTTCCATATCTGGTGCCACCTTTGACCCATTTCCACACTGGCACCGGCGTGCAGACCTGCTTGGACAACTTCGTGCACTACACTTTCTGTTACTTCCCTGTCTTCTACGTCATCAAGGCAGCTTTTGCTCAAAGCAAGGAACCCATGGAACCAGCTCAGGATCTTGCTTCAGCCATGGAATACCAACATGTAAAGCATATGTAAAGCATATGTAAAGCATATGTAAAGCATATGTAAAGCATATGTAAAGCTACATAAGTCACTTAAAGTCAGGACTTTTTTTTCTTTGGGTGCTACCCAGATCAACACAGAAATCAACACCCCCCATGCTGCCGACGTCCTGACAGCTCCCAAGTCTCACCGAGTCGCTGTGAGGAAGGTATTAATACCATCACCGCTGACAAAGCAAGTCCTTTGGCATTTTGCTCCAGGGCCATCCAGGGCCGCTTCTGGTGGGCTGAAGTAATACTGGCGGCAATTAATTAAAGTAGAATTTCATGAAATTATAGAATCAAAATCAAAAGGGAACAGAGATCTGATTATTGAATGTTTTGGAGTGTTTTGGATGATCCATTGCTTTCGGTCTTTGATGAATTTGCAGCTCGTTGTGAGACAAGATAGAGTAGTGCCTTGCAGAATAGTGCCTTGCCACACTCATGACTTTGAAGCTTTTCTTGATGTTCACTGTTGTTGGATGTTTGATGATGTTTGACGGTGTTTGGGGATGCCCTGCAAGAGTGGTGGGCGCTCCTCTTCAGTGATGAAGTCAGTGGGCTTGTTTTGGAGAGCCAACCCCCCCGGGTGGTACCCTAAAACAGGTGGAAGAAATGGGATGTTGCCCCCAAATCCGGTAGGACCTTTTGATCCGTTCCCTTATCGTTGCATCTGAGGCACAACCGACGATCCCTTGGTTTCTAGAGCTCTGAAGAAGTACTGGAAGATGCTGGGCAGATCAGTCAAGGGGCCATGATTAGCTGATTAGCCGCGATTAGCCATGATAAGTCGCTGTTGGGAAGAAGCAAGAGCAACTCTTGAACGTCAAACTTGGCAGGACCAATGGCTTGCCAACAGTTCTGATTTCTGTTATACAAATTGTGTGCTTTTGTTGGTGAGTTTCCTTGAGACCTGTGTCAGAATGTGTCAGATATTATTCTTGTTTGAATTGAACGCCGCCGAGGAACGCTGTTCAGGATAACCTCTACATGTGGTCTCTTTGGGTTTCTTGGTCGTTGATCCGGACGAGGATTGGGTACACCATGACAAAGACCCGACAAGAAATCTGGTTCATTTGATAAGATATGATTCGTGATCACATGATCTCTGTTTTTTTGTGGATCTTTGGACGATTCTTGTATGTCTTCGATGGTTTTTCGTTCATTTTTTGCGAGCTTCAGGTCCCTTTCGACCTGATCATCTATGCAGCGGGGCTTCCTGAGGGGCCAAGCAGATAACCACGCACAGCTTGGGTAGATACATGTAGATACCATCCTGTCGTAGTTTGTTTTATTTTTGAGAAAAAAGACGTGTGCCAGGCTGCCAGGGTTGAAGTCTCATCAGTATCAGAGGATTTTTCATGATCTTTTTGGATTCGGCTGCCATGTCTCTTTGGAATGGTTTCACCTTAAGGTTTCAGATGGTTTCAGAACGTGATCACTGAACAGGCTGCCATGTTTCCATACTTTGCTTTTGTTTGAGTTCAACAGCTTCTCAACTTCTCAACTCTCAACCTCAAGCGCAGCCAATGTCAAACATCATTCAAGATCATTTAACATCATTTAACCATATATCATATATTAAACCTCCGTCAACACCAAGCCGTGCGTTTTGACAAGGTGCCCATTTGGATGCGTTTGCCTTTGAACCACGGCATCAGCTTAGCCTGGACCATGATCTTGGCCGCTGGGCGGCAAGGGAAACCATGGGTTTGATATTATGGAAGATGTTTGATATATTTGTAACATACATATATATATATATATATAATATATATATATATATTTGCTTATATGTATGTATGTATATGTATATATATATATATATCCACATACATCAAAAATAGGATGTACTCGTACAAGATACACAACATATACTGATATAGTCTGATATAGTCTGATATAGTTGGATCATTTTGATTGACACTCAAACCAGATGTCCCGGATGTTCAGCACTGGCACTCCGACGTGCTTCGCCCAGAGCGCACTTCGCGGGAACGAGAAGTGAGACATGGCGAGCGGTGCTCAGTGTTCGAAATCCGCGGGACTTGCCTGATCCGCAATGGGCATGGCTCAAAAAACTGTGGCAGTTGGTAAAGGTGGATGAAACTGGATGAAACCCATGAAATACCGGGATGATCCATAAATCCCAACAGCTGGAAGGAAAAGGCTATGAGGGTTTTGACTCGTAGCCACCGATCTTTTTTCCCGTGCATTTTCGGCATATCTGGAATCTGGACGAATTTGAACTTTGAGTTCCCGAAACAACAGCCATTTCTTCACTGCTGCAACATGACAAGCGCGCACTGTAGGTGCCCTACGAAAAATCCTTGAGCGCGACGACTCGATGCTTGAGGATTCTGAGGGGTCATTGATCTTCAACCAAGATTTTGTCCCTAAAAGTGTTAGGTCTCCGTGTGAGACTTGGGTTAAAACTTGGAGAGTTGGGTGATTTCACATGATTCCGCCATGCGGGGATTGTAAGATATTGCATGACATAAGCGGCATAGGCATATCAGAATCCAGTCACTGGATCATTGCGAGCAGAGCGCTCACCTTAATCCCTGATGGCTCCAATGAGATTGGAGGTGTTACTTGACACCAGTGGCATCCAGTGGTTAAGTCTTTTTTCTCCATGCCTGTTTTGATTTTCTGGTGGAATTGTGCTCCATTTTTCTGTCCAAAGAATTGAGACTAGAAACGCCTCCGATTTGTTTTCTTCTTGGAGACCACTGTCAATGGCAGCACTAGCCGAATTTTCAGACGTGAGATGCTGAGACAAAAACGCTTTCACAGATGTCACAGGGGACTGAGGACACGGCCGAATCCGGAATGACCACCGCAGTGACTATGTGTATGGCCACCGCAGTGCCGTTTGGGCTTCTGGATTTAGCCCGGTTGGTTCAGATGTCAGAGATGAAGTGTGATTCCAACACCTGAGGTCATTAAAGCTTGTATTGTCGCTGCGGGGCAGATTCAATGATCGCCAAGCAAAAAAACCAAAGTCCTAGTGAGTCATAGGCTTGAGCAACCCTGAAAGTCTCGTCCCCATTTTTCTTTAACCCAGCTCAAAAAAGTTTGCTTCCGCGTTTGGACCCGTTTCGGTCTGAGCCTTCAGCGTTCTGGTGAATAGCTGCCAGAACTTTTTTTGCCATGGGAGATGAAACCATGAATGAGGAGGAGGCAGCATGGCAGGGACATTGCCGCGACTATCCTAATGTGGTCCCAATGCCATAAACCTACCATTTGGGGATGGTTTACACAACTCATTTATGGTGATTAAATGGATGGTTTATTGATCTGTTTAAATCTCGAGCCGTGTTCACGGCTGAGTGATATGTTTGCATTGGATCATTGCGCCTTCGCTTTTCAGAGATTCCTCAGTCTTCAAAAGGCATACCAGATCTTGACCAGAGGAAACAAGCCTCAAGCATGGCAAATGCATTTGATGGAACTTAATTCTAATTAGTAATCGTCCAATTTACAGGTTTGATGATGTCTGATTTTTTGTACCTTTTAGATTTTTTTAAATGAATATGCAGATGCAGACCTTTAAATTTAATCATATCTATAGAATTCTTTAGAACGCCTATTCCGTGCCATGCCGCTCACGCCCCTACACTCAACCCCAGGTTGAATTGTCCCACTGCACCAATCCATTTTTCCCTCATTTTTCCAGATCTTTGGGGAAGGCTCCTGTGCGGCGAGGCCCAAATTTTGGAGAAGGCATTGATAGAGCTGCCCATTTTTCAGGATTGCCCAAGGCAACTGATTCATCAAATCGCACAGAAGGTCCCTGGGTACAGATGGCCGCGGGCGACACTGGAACATGATAGGCTCGAGTCGCTCGAGTTCTCAGATAGAAATATGAGTCAAAAGGGGGAAGATGGAGGAAGTCATTTCCTGAAATGTTTTTTGTAGATGAGGCGCATGCTTTGAATTTACATTCTTAGTTCATGTTATTTCATGCCTGGGATTGGCTGAGGCTTCATGTCGAAGATATGAGGCCCTGGAGGAAGTGGTCTTCTCCGACCAGGTGCCAAACAAAACAAGATAAACAAGTGACAAACGATCAAGGGATGCCTGCCATAGATATCCATAGGATCTCAATGGATATCATGGGATGAAGGGGTAGATGAGGCTTCCTTCGGTAGCAGATTTATAATGATATATATATATATATTTGTATATATACATATACTCATACCTAGCGCATCAAGAACCCCCAAATTTGTAGGTCTTTTTCCAAAAACCCGGTTTTTCTCAGACACGAGGGTTTTTTTCTTTACTAGAGGAAACAACATACTTTTTCTCACACTTTGTGTCATGACTTCTCATGATTCGTTCCCTTAGACGATTCAAACCCCTTTATTGATACCAGCCTTGGATCTATCCCTCTCAGTACCCTTCATGTTGATTATACTTCCACCCCGCTGGCTTTGGCTGGCAGTTCTCGCAAGAAAGGGCCCGATGCTCTTGGAACATGTCGGACAACATTAAGTGTGATCACAGTCAATCTGGAGTCGTTGGATGATTTTTTCCCAAGACCCACCCCTAGAAGCATAAATTGAAACATAGCTGTATTTTTTCATTGGGAAGAAATGATTCTGGATTGCCAAAGTCCAACAAACAGTCGAACAAAAGTATCGAAAAAATCACAAAATCAATCAATCGAAATTTTCAGTTTTTCATCATTTTGGATGA